ACGTCCCTCATAGGTGTTTCCAATCACCTCCTTGCTGATCATATCAGAATTGGCAGTAGCCATTGAGTTCATCCATGACTCAATCTAAAATAAACAGGACAAATATGGTAAGAAATTACTGAAAACCAGAAAAGAAAATCAGAATTGAGATCGGCGCTCTTAAGGGTTTCGACTCTTACATCGCTCCAGGTGTTGTACTTGGTGTAGCTGTGGGCTCTGGGAGAACCCTTGTTTTCAATCTGGCGATCAACAGCCTCCTGAACATCATCAATAAAGACCCTGAATAGGATTTAATCAAAAAGTGTCACAGCATTGCGTGAAGAATGTAAATCTGGGGCACAAAATATCCAGATAAATATCCTTTAGTTTAATTGTTTGTCTAGCGACCTACTCTAGCTGCATGCCGCTCTGCTGCAGGACGGTGAACACCATGTCCAGGTACTGAGCAGGCACACGGATGTCCACGCTCATGCCCACAGTCACCTGCTCAGCACTTTCTGGGGTCCAAAAGTCGAGCTGCAGATGGCAGCAAAGTCAAACACTTGAGCAATGAAACATATGTGTGTGCCTGTATGTGTGAAAGCAGATGGGTACCTGAACACTGTTAGCCAGTTCCCTAATGACTTTCACATGTTCATTAAGGACAGGCTTCAGACGCAGAACTTTATCACTGTTTAAAAAAGGGGGGTGAGAGAAATCAACATTATAAAATAGCATCCACAAACACTTTGCCTTCACTCCTCAGCAGTTTCTTTGGAACACAGTAATACCCTTTGCATAAGCCACAAACTTAGGGAACGCAGGCTTATATAGTACTTCTATTATTAGAACTGCGTCATTATATTTTTAGTGTCATCACATGCTGTAGTTTACAGGAATGCTGTCCTTTTTTTTTAAACAAAAGTGTAAATTTACCCCTCAAAGCGAGTGACGTCAGCGAGGGCAAAAGCCACCAATCCAAAAAACAGGAGGACCTTCATGTTGGCAATGAAGCTGGCTTTCCTTGTGTACGACACTTATACCTCGCAGCTTGCCGTACATCCACCAATCGGAGTCTTTTACGCAAAGATGTGTCATACGTCCTTTGCTGTGTCGCTGGTTTTTTTTTAGGTGTTACGTGGAAAAACGAGAGCCTACATGATGTACTGTCAATGATTAATAGATTCAAGACGTGTTTGAGGCATTTTTAAACCAAGGTCATTTGATTTGGATAAGTCACAGTTATCAGAAGTGTTTTTTGTAATGTGTGACTTGCTTTCACGACTAATCAGGATGATTTGTCTCTTTTTACACTCAGCTATTAAAAAATAAGATCCACCATGGACTGTATTTTATTTCTTTTTAATTATATTTTCGTATTCACAAAATGTACACCTACACGGTATAAAAAAACACACCTGTCAAGTTTAAATACCACAAAGACAACCACCAAAGACACTGACAATGATCTCCCAGCCTGGATTATTTACATGGCACTCCATTTTTGATAGCATGTCACTCCCAAACTTAGTAGCATTTCAGTGTTGATATGCAAACAAATATACATTTTCACAAAGAGGACATAGTCTGACTATACTATATAACATACGGAAAATAGTTAATGAAGTCAGATCTGCTGCAAATATACATTTACATGACATTTTGCAATACATTTCCAATTATTTCATGTATGTTGCCACTGGCAGAGCATTCATGAGTGGCTTAGCACTTTTTTTTTTTAGCATTGTTCCAACTAGTGAACGACCTGCTGAGAGCAAAGGATAGTTTTCACTAGACACTATAGTACTGCACTGTATCATCGAGGCACAATGCTGACATAATTTTGCAGAACATGCATATCTTTTTATAAATAATGGGATAAGTGTTCAGTAATTCTGTATAATATTTTCTTGCAGAGCCATACTATATTAATATGGCTTTTTTTGTGACACTCTCATTCATTTCACAGGGTTAGATGGGAAAATTTGCCAGCATGCTATGTGACATGGAATGGTATATGAATAAATATTCTGCAACTACAGAGGAACATGTGCACAACATTACAATCATTGTGGATGTTTCAGTGCTGGGTAATACAGTTGGGCATGGAGAAAAAAAAAGAATGGAATGTCTCCATCCCCAGGTCTTTGACCTCAAACTGAAAGAGTGAGGAGAGGTCAACTGTACCCTGTTTCTCTCTCTCTCCCCCCCCCCCCCCCCCTTTACTTCACGTCAGAGGAGGCATTACTTTTGACTGCAAGGCTCAGTGCCTCTGTGGCGCGAAAAGAGAGTGCACTCATCTTGGAGCTAATGCTCGGGTGAGGCCCGGGAACTGCCCCTCGGGAGCAACGCAGCAGATGGAGTAAGTTTTTGCGAAAGTTGTGCCCCACGAAGCTGTACACGATAGGGTTCACGCAGCTATTGAAGTAGGCAATGCATATGGTGAAGGGTATGGCGGTGTCAATGAGTTCCACGATGGAGCATTTGTTCACAAGTTTCAGTTGGGTGAGCACCTCCATGAAGTGGAATACCTGGTGTGGCGCCCAGCACAAGAAAAAGGCCAAGACAGCCGCTGCGAGCATGCGCAGTACCTCGTCGTCCCGCGAACGAGAGCTCTTCTGTATGTGCGTGGCCCCCAGCAGCGCCTGCCCAATAAGGCAATAACACGTGAGGATGATGACAAAGGGCACCAGGAAGCCCAGCAGGATCTTCATGAGGCTGATGGCGAGGCGGAGCTCTTTCAACCACATTTCATTTTCTTCAGTCGGGTGCAGAATGCCGCACACTGTAGTGTTAGAGTGTGAGATGTCGTGGAGATCCCTGATCACCGCTGTGGGCACACTGAGCACGAAGGCAAAAAGCCAGATCACCACACAGGTGAGACGCGCATACACCAGGGAGCGGAAGCGCCTCGATCGCATTGGATGCACAATAGCCAGGTAACGGTCTAGGCTGAGCGCTGTGAGGAAGAAGATGCTGGTGTAGATGTTAAAAATCACCAGCCCTGCACTGGCCTTGCACAGGAATCCTCCAAAGGGCCAACTATACCCTGTGGCGGTGTAGGTGGCCCACATTGGTAGAGTGATGAGAAACGTGAGGTCAGACACGGCAAGATTCAGGACGAAAATGTTAGCCACCGTCTTAAGCTTCATGTAGCAGTAGATGACAGCCACCACCATGCTGTTTCCGACAATGCCGATGACAAAAATACAGCCATAGACGATGGGTACCAGGGTGAAAATTATTTCATGGTGTCCAGACATACCACATGCCAGTTCTAAACCGTCTGTTGTTTCTGTCGTTAGATTTTGCATTTTGAGCACCAAATCCCAGGACTTTTAAATGGAGGGTCCCTGTAGCCAGGGCTGGTCTGTGGTGACTGATGCAGGCCTTGGGAGAGGGCCTCAGCGAGTCCTATAAAAGAAACACACACACAAAAAAAGAAAATGTCACAGGCAGCCCAGGAGAGGAGCCATCATTACTGCTGGCACGGCCCATAAACGCTAATCCACACGAGCACCCATGAAAATGCTCACTCTACACCAGCTCATTAAAGACCTGCACATTAAAGCCATCCTGACGCTTTATGTTATTTCTGTAAAGTAAGAAGCCATGAAAAACAGATGTTGCATGTTATTCAATATTCCAAAAATGCCCTTTAAAAACGTCATTATTCAGACAGCCTGCATTCTGCCTTCGCCTTATAATCGTCCCTCGGCTAATGAAGGGCAACAGTAAAACTGTACAGTGTTTATCAAATGCTCGGTCCATCTGGGTTGGACTGTCAGCACCCGGAAGGAGAACATTTATGCCTCGTGTTATGACCTGAGTTAATGAAGGCCGCATGGCAAAGCGCGAGCTTGGATAACAACGCCATTAAACACTAAAGCGCTGAGGGAGCAGGGGAGGAGAGGAGAGGTTCGAGGCTCCAGTCACCGTAAAAGACATGTCACGTTTTAAACCCTCGGCGCGCCGAGATACATTGTACACAGCATGAGAACTTCTAATCAGCACACACCTAAACAAACAGGACAGCAGGGATTCAGCTCTGTGGAAACTTTGCTCTGTGAGAAAATCAAACCTGCGTGCTGCGGAAAATTGGCCTCGGGGCTATTTTTTTTCTTTTTTCTTTTTCTCTATTTTTTTATGCTTGATTTGCACAAGCTTAGAGTGAAATGGGAATATAAAAAACAAATTCTCTCCTTTGCTGAGCATCTTTATGTTTAATAGAATAGCTTTGTGGGTGTCATTAGTGGAGCTGATGTAATAATATTAGCATAAGCCTCATTTATATGACAATATAGCTGACGAGATTACCCAAACTTGCACAAAAAACAAGAAATATTTGTGGTTACAGTAAATCCAATCTGATGCCAAAGAAAACATAACTCTGCCTTTAGAGATCATAAGTAGGCAAATACAATTTGAAGATAATGAACAACTGTTTAACTGATTTATGATTTCTTTTAGGAATGAGAAGTTAACCTTTTATTATTATACAGCTGTCACGACAGAAATGGAATTCCCTGGATTACCAGTCTGAGTAAACGGAGCAGGATTTTGCCACAAGATGGCATGCTAGCATTAGGATTTTACTGTTTACGTCTCACTGCTGACTCAGCAGGGACACAGCGCATTTTGACAGAAACACTACAGATATTTCAGCCAGGGTGTTTCTATACATTTAGATTTTTTTTTTTTTTAAAGTAGCCATGTGCTCCTGTCACAATCTCATTGGAGTTTAAGCTACTCGAATCAACCTATTGCAGACACTTTACCTTCACATCTACTGAGCTCAGAGTCTGAGCTCCAGCAGCACAACTGTTTTATCTCAGAATAATAAAAAGATCCTAATTTTTCAGCAGATTTCAGTAGGTGAATTCTTTGAAAAAAACGAAATAAGAAAAAAAAAACCCTGCGTGCACTAAAGCAACGACCCTATCTGCTGCAGATGTGGGATTTATCGAGTGTGGAAGATGTGTGGATGCCAAGGGCAGCAGAATAATGGAATATCTCTGCGAGTTTCCTGCACAGGCCCCAGTGTAACAGGTAGGATAAAGCACCGACACAGATGTCGAAGCTCGGATTCAAAGTGCGGGTGTTTTGCTTCTTAATGTTTATAACGGTGGGTGACTGTAATATCAAACCATGCAAACAAGAGCATTAAAATGAATATCGGTTTCACAGTTTGGGGATTTTTAAACGATTAAAGGAAATCTCTTGATGCTCAGAAGATTTTTGATTGCCAGAAATGGAAATAGGAGAGAAAATGGACACTCTTTTACTGTTATTAGTGCAGTGCAACGCCAGTGTTTTTCCAAGAGGGAGATGAAGATAGTAAGGGAACGTGTGTTGAGTTAATACAAACAAGGCTGGATATGCTGAATATCTATAATAAAGATAAGGTGGCACAGAAAGAAGGTGACTCAGAAGAAGGCTATTTAGGGTGGCTTTGTCCAGTGAGCTATAGCTTGAGTGAGATGGCACATTACTGAATGGCAGCTATAAACCCTGGGTGACCACAGACAGGAAGGCAAACAGCCCCTTCACAAAGTCCGTGCGCAAGCTGCATCCTCTGAGACAAGACAAAAAGGCTGCAAAGGCCCAGAGTTGTTTGCAAACAAAGCTGCTTACACTGAATGATAAAATCAGGGTTAGGAGGAAGTTTGGGGACATTTCTGCCCCCCAGATCTCTGTGGCTGAATCCTGAGTGACATTATAGTAGCAACATTTGAGTCCTATTTTGGGGCATTTAAAAGTGGAATCGTTCTGGGAACATGGGATTTATTTACAAAAACTAAAACAAGGACAAATTAAATCACTTTTAGTTTAGAATAATAGGATTGTCTAAGTTGGGACAGCGAGAAAGTTCCCATCAACTGAGCTATCTGAGGCTACCCTTAGCTTGAGAACCCAGCTGCTCGGACATGAGCACCACCATCTGGCTGTTCAAAGAGAAAACCACTAAAATCAGTGGCTGATCGAGTTAATGATTTATATCAGCCCATTACAAAGTGAGGTTCATCTTACTGGAAACAGGCCACTTCACCCCACCTTCCTGTTTCAGCCCTGTTTGGTCAACAGGATGCTCTGCAACAATGGGTGCCTCTGACTTTTGTGCATCCTGCATCTCTAAAGGTGTTAAAGAAATACAAATTCAGCATGAGTTAATTAACCAACAACAAGACCTGAACCTTAAATTTCCTCCTTTCCCTGAAGGTGAACAACAATGGTGTCTAATTGCATAGTGCATCTCAGCCGTAGCCTCCTACAACTCACTTCCTCCTCCGTCTCAGCTTGCATGGTGTTGCTTTAAATCATGAGCTTCTTGAAGTGAGGCAACCTCCCTAAACTGCTGAAGAATCTGCCACTGCATTAAAAAAGTGATACAGTAAAGCTCTCATTTTAACATGAATCCAGAAATAGAAAAACATCAAAGGGTTTAAATTAATAATACATGTGTGTATGACATTGTGACAGTGTCCATGAACTAATCAAAGACTTGACTTATGGCTTGCAGCTGGGCAGCTAATGGAAATATTGGCTCCAGAAGTTATGTCTGCATCTTTCTGTTTATAGAACTGCGCTTTCATGTGACGTACACAATCAAACAACACAAACCTGTGCCTGAGAGGCTTCCAATCATTTCTTGTACTACGACTTTGAATTACAATAACCTAGGAGACTGTAAATCCTGCTATCTTTTATTTATTTCCAATTGTTTTGGTAATTCTGTTAAAAAAAGAAAACCGCGTATAACCTGAGAACAACAAGTCTCTTGAATATGGTAACACGAGAGGGGGGAATGAAACTCCTAAAAACTTTGACAGCAACTTTTACTCTGAGAAGTCTGCAGCACTTTATTTTGTCCCTTAACTTCTTCTTTCCTCATTATTACTTCAATAGTATGAATTTTGTCGCCTTCACTCACACAACTATAAATTAAATTCCATCAGTTCTTTTTACCCCTGGTTTGCTTTTCCTTCACCTTTTCACGTGTTTTTTTTGTGATTAAATTCTTCATAAGCGAGGATTTTCAAAGAGCACGGAGATACTGTTTATCAGGAAGTGGATCCAATTTTCTATGGAGATATAAGACCTGGGTTTGTATAGATGGCATGACTAGGTTCTGAATTCTTCTCATTCCTACCGCAGATTTACTGTAGCTGGTTTAAGGGTTTTAAACACAGAAGAATTTCATAGACAGAGTAAACAAACAGAAGGAATAAAACTGCGCTGATTTACTTCGTGAATAAAGCCAGTATGTTGTTGTGTTGTTTTATTTTCATTTGCAGGTTCTGAAAGTAATATTAGTCATTTTAGTAAATGAAAAAAAGTTTTTCAAACTGCACCAAGAATCAGCAGAAAACAGTTTCTCTAACTTATCCCTAAAATGCTAACGTTCATCAATGAAAGCAAAGATGAAAGTTGGTGAGAATCCTTCCTGAAAGCGAGGCAGTGTCAGTGCTTACCTGCAGTGCTGAACCAGGAGGCTGTTGATGCTTTCAGAGCAGGACGGGCTGAGAGATAGAGAGACCACCGCAGCGTGTCACTGACTGCCTCTGATTTAACTTAACCGCTGGAGCAGGACGAGGAGGAACACCGTCTGACACACAACCCCCTCCTCACCCCACCACTACTCCCTCTCTCTCTCTCTCTCTCTGACACACACACAAACACACAAACACACACTCTACAGTGATGAATGAGTTACACTGGAGCCAGTCAGCTACATATTGTCTTGACCCATCTTTCACTCTGGCCAACAGACTCTGCAGATACACAAACAACCACACATGAGCTCTTACACAATAGCACCTCTCCTCTCCTCCTCTCTCTCCTCCTCCTCTCTACTTTCCCCCTTGCACCTCAAGCACTATCTCCCCTCCTCTCCCTTAACGTCTGCTTTTAATCATCAACTTTTTTCTGTCTTATGAAATTGACTACTTCTGACAGCTAGAGATGATTAACGTTCCAAATCTAGCCCTGTTGCATAATCCTTTAAGGGTGTTCAATTGGGCTCTGCATTTTAATTGACTATGCAAAATCATGCTCATAATCACAGACAGCACTTTGTTTAAGTCTTACTTCAATATTTTGGCCACCTCTCTCCTTCCACTTATGTCAGCTCTCATCCAATGACAGTCCCACCGTCCCTCGTCCTCTGCACAGCATGAAAGGAACGGCCAGGGTCTGATTATGACTGAGCCTGTCAACACACTTTATTAATAGCTGCCACATGAATCCCCTTGAATCACTATGCAACACGGGCTCAAAAAAGTGTGTGTATGTCGGGGGAGATCAGTTGGGTGGAGCCTGAGAGTTGGGACACTGCTATTTTTTCCCCACTTCTTGCTAGGTTTCCTCAAAGCGTTTCCTGCATTTCAGTATGCGATTCATCTGTCACTCATTTGCCACGCTTTTTTTTTTTTAAAACATATGGACCTTTTCTCGGCATTGTGTAAATCTATGTGCATGCATACCTCAGAGCTTACAACTCCCCCTTGGCCAAACTGTCTCTATTGAAGCTGTAAGTTTGATGAAAGTGACTTATTAAACCACTAAAACAGTTCATGTGTGATCAAAAAGAAAAGAAGGAAAAACCCAACTCAGGCACGAAAAGGAAAGAACTCGTCTGCGCGCTTGTGTAATCCAGCTGCATTAAGAAGGAATTTCTATTTTTAGGGATTGCACAGAACCGTCAGACACAGCTTGGTTGTTATTTGTCTCCCCTATTCTTTCTCAAGGTCTGACAGGTGTTGAGAAGCAGGTCACATCCTCGCCTCTCTGCTGCAACCTATTGCAAATGTCACTGACATGGATAAGTGATGGATGAGGTGGCGTGGCAGCCATCCTGCAAATCCCCTCAGTTTCAGTGGCGGCTGTTGAAGAAAGCCGTCGCCTGGGCTAAAGACAAACAAGGAAAGAAAGGAAAAACAAACACTTTGGGCTAAGTGGAGGTCCTGTTTGGTGACTTTTGCTCACTCAGGTGTGACCTGGTCATTTGAGAATGATCACATTTGCTGAGGTTTTTATGGCAGGCGGTTCTTCAAAGGTCACCGGGGGTCAAAAGGCAGCAGGTACAAAGGTCTGGAAAACGTTTTGAAAATACGTGACGTGCAGCAAATAGCTCTTCGCTTTTTATACCTGTCATTTTTCAGGAAGGGCAGGTTGTGGAGGAGAGTAACTCACTTTGCTCAGCAACAGAGCCATTTACACCTCCAGGGGATTATGATCAAGCTCCATTATGTCTTCAATTACTGCAAATGATAAGAATCATCCATTAGGCCAATGTTATCTTATTGCGTATCCTGTCACAGCACTGAGCATCTGTATGGTATCCCTTCGTCCTTACGGTCCTCGCTGCCACAAGAATTATCTTGTCTATATCTGACCCTTGAGACCTCTCAGGAAGTGAGCAGAGAGTGCAGAATCACTACATGTATTTTCCACAAAGCAAATAATTCTCAGTGGGGACAGGATGTTGTTGCAACACCCCGTACTACAACAATGATTTACACTCCTTGGGTACAAGCAGAACCAGATGTTGGTGATCTTAAAACAGAGATATGCAAAAGATTAGAAGGGAAATGACATAGTTAATGTTCCTAAAGCTTTTTTTGTTTTCTTTTTATAGAAAGAATAGAGTTTATTTAATTGAAGTTGGTGCATTAAAAAGGTAAAATTACATATTCTGACAGTGTCCTCTTTAATGCACTCAATAAATGCATCAATGTTTAATCCAAGTTATAGTTGTGCAACTTTTATGAACCCATGCAACTATCATAAAATCCAAGTAAATCCAGTTGTTTTTGTTTTTTTTTTTACAGAATAATTCATCAGTTGTGGCTGGATGAGGCCAGAAAGAGGCCAAGGCTTCATCTCAACTGCTCATACCCTGGAGGTGTGATCTTGGGCGATGTTCCTGCTAATCACATCACTCTAACAAGATTAGCCGTGTTAGCACTTAAGCTGTAGTTGAATAAATTGATGTCTGAGGTAATTACTGGTAGCAGACCACTGCGGGGAAATAGACTTTTTACACCACAGCAACACAGGCAGTAAAATGCCAAACCAGCACACAGCCACCTGCTGAAGAAAGACAATACTGTGTGAGTTCTGAAGTTGAGCTCGAGCTGTAAAATGAACACGGGTGACAAACTGGAGAGAAAAAAAATTAACAGCATAAAGCGTCTTAGCAAGAAAATGAACCACCACATACCGGCAGAACAGCTTAAATGCATCTTGGGATTGATTCTAAATGTTCTCTGGAAATGTACTGGAGGGATGGAAAAACATTATTTTAAAATCTGTTCCCTCATTTGGTGTTTTAAAGATGTTAATGGAGATCCACGTCCAACACATTGGGCCAAGTAAGTGTTAACATGGGCTGAAAACCTGAAAGCCACATGATTAATAAACCATCCAGTAATTCCAAGTTACTCTGGGGAACCTGGAAAAGGCTTCTCCCACAAGGATAGAAAATGTGTGAGCACAGGATAAAAATTATTACTCAGAACAAAGTTTTTATTGACTTCAACTGCTGAGTTGCAGCAGTTCCTGGATTCAAAATTACTTCTACTTGAGGTGCCATGAGCAAACCAGATATGTTCTTGCTGTGTTTCACCAATAGAAAGCTTCCCACAAGGGTGAGGGTTCGAATATTCCACCAATAAAACCTAAAAAAAAAGGATATAAACACCAAGCCCAAAAGGATTCACCAAATTTAGTCCAAATCAGGCAAGACACACACAGCAGCATCAACTACAGACAACATGAAGGTCTATAAAAAAGAAAAGTTGCCAGTTAGAACAGAGTATTTAGTGGCCTGTAGATTATCCAGAAAACTTTCCTTTGTAAAAGGTTCCTCTGTCACCTGTTTGTGTTAAAATACGAATGTGGTCAATTCCAAAGGCTTGTAGTGTAGATGGGTTGCCATTATGGAAGTCCAGGAAGCATCTTAAGTTTGGATTAATTTGCACTGGTCCCTCACTAATGGAACTAAACCACCACCGCTATAACCTGACTCAAGAGTTCAAGATTTCCTTTTAATTTGCCTATTTGTAGCTTCTAGATGTGTATAAATATCTAAAATTTCCAAAACAAAGTGTGCTGTATCAGCTTTTGACAGGTTTGTGCTGCGTGTTTCTATCTGGGCTAATTTCCATCTGCAAACTCTCTGCCGACACAGAGCCAGGTTAATGTGATCAAAAGAAATATATGCAGAACAAGAACTACATGTTTCTTTTCACACATGTTCCTCATAAGTTTGTATCCAAACTTTACCCCAAAATATCTTTTTTTAAATAACACAAAAAAATTTTCTCTATTAAAACAATATGTGCAGAGTGAAGCAGTTCTCTTTATGTTTGGGATTTGATGGACATGTTGTCTTAATAAGCCCGACCACATTTTTCCCCTTTGTTTTAAACAGTTCCATACTGTACCATTGCTTTAGATATTGTTGTGAAACTCACTTCCCCACCATTCCCTTAAGACTCGTAATCAAAAAATGCCCAGAGACATGTTTCTCAGCGTTTCTCTGGACATTTAGACCCCTCACAGTATGAGAATCACAGGTGGAACTAATATCACTAATGGCAGCTTTCCCCCCTCCCCCAGCAAACGCTTCAATGCTAAGCAGCAAATAATGTTAGACACCCCTCTGACACGTGAGAAGTTGTACTTTACTTTAAGGCAACTTTGGTTTATCCACTGGGAATTATTATTATCATGTTAAAAAAAACAGCTGTTCTCTGACTCAAATGTAAAGACAGCAACAAATTCTAGCTGGGCAATAATTATAAGTTGATATCAGGTTACAAAATAATGTAGAGAACCGCTGCACTAAAAACCACTTCTATGACTTACATTGAAAGCATTGTCTTCAAATAATAAGACCATTTCAACCACCAATAGTGTCAAGCAGTGATGCTCATTCTGCCCCCAAATCCACCAAAATGCATGCTGCTACTTTTCTTTTTAGCTATCAAGGCATTTCTAAGCTAAGCCATATTCCACATGATCTTCAAATCTTGGCGTGGAAGCTGCTGTGACTCTTCAAAAAGCCTGCTAAGATCACTGCTTACTCTGTCAAAGTAAGAGCTTGCTGCTTGATATCTGCTTGGTGTTGAGTTGGTCTTTGACAGGTATGCTTGTGGCTTATATCTTGGCTTTTGTTACTGCTGTCTTTCATTCACTATATATCGAGTGTCCTTGGCTTCAATTCTTCTTTTTTGCCTGGTTATTATTGTTTGGCATGAGGATACATGTTGCATTGTGGATGCTTATATTGGAATGTGAGTGCGGCTGAAGTGGTATTGCACCACATTTTCCTTTTTTTGATGTTATTCCTGGATGATTTCATGCTGCAGTGCATGCTTCTCTGTAAGCCTAAGTAAGTGTGCACTGAACAGTTAAAAGTCTAATGTTTGGTTGGATGAGTTAGCCACAAAACAAGCCCACCAGTTACACACATTTCAGCTACACTTCGGTCAGGATTTTCTCGTTTTATTATTCAGCCGCTGACTTCATCTTGTATCTATGTACTGTCTGCTCTGATAGTTGTATCTGCTTTTACTTTGCAAAATCTACTTTTAAAC